AAATTAATATTTCGGTTGAAAACCAATAATTAATTACGTTATTAATATATGTCTCTGTTTGAAGTAAAGTAAACTATCAAATAATTTTTGATTTGTAATTTATACATATTTGAAATGATTATTACAGTACAAGTATTATTTTAATAACGTGCCAAAGTTCCGCATTGACCTACCTAGACAATTTGAATCATAAAAGTACAGTACTAGGTTGACCGCAACTGTAGCCGTTGGGAGGCTCACTCACATCGTTGGAGGGGCCTTTATGATATCAATGGCATTTCCGCTCGGGCATTGTATACTGCTGGAGAGATAGACAGCAATTGAGATAAGACTTGTTTGAGTTGTTTCGGCTTCTTTAATGTATGAAATGTAAAAATACACAAATTTTCAATTACCTTCACCTATTGAACTAATGTATTATTATCAATTGCATGCACCCAACGTTTTTCGTTCTAAATCTTAAGCATTTATACTCTCCACATATTTATAATTTATTTTGGTTCCAGTTTTTAATGGGTTTGGATGTTAAATCTATTTCAAGCGTCTATATCAGATTAAGACAGAGGCATGTAGAAAATCTAAGGTTTATTTGAGTGTCTTTTCATATAATTATGTATTAGATTGAATGTATGGCCTACCTAGTAACTAACTATAAATATACCAATCTACTAGCAGAGTACCCGTCCTTATGGGGTTGGCATAAAAATGCCAAGTAAAGTAAATGCAAATGTAAAGTATAAAATGCTTATTGTAGTTATACCATGCATGGATAAAAGGAGTATAGACATATATACTCAAGAGTTATACTCAAGCTTTGTGTATGCAATGGGGAAGGACACAGTTTGATACAATTTGCTTCTTTAAATTTACAGTTTACATAAACATAGCCATTATGTTCTACCACTTCACCTAAACAATAGAGAAAAAAATTATAAAAATTCACAAAATAACACAAATTATTCATGAAATTAGAAACGTAAAGATAACACAATCCTACTTTGACATTTCTCATTGCGTATCACAGTTTTTTTTGCTGCTTAGTTCAAATTAGCTGTTTACATAAATGCAAAATAAACGGTATCGGCAATCTGACACATACTTTCTTCCATTAGCTTGTCAACAACCTTTTTCATAGGTAAGCGATGATAGTGGTAGGCCGGTAGGCCTATTTAATAGGTAAAATCTCAAAAGTTTCATTAACTTTTGAACAGTATTTCAACAGGAACTAGTGTACCTGTTGCTCGAAATCGAGCAATTGTCAAGTACCGGTATTATGCAGGAGTTATTTTAAAACTACAGTAATAACAGTCATAATTTTCGGTGAGTTTAAAAGACCCGACTAAATGCTATGGTAACTATCCTAATTGAAATACTCACGCTATTTAATACTGCTTTGAAATTATAAATAAACGTTTCTTGTAAAAATATTTTAGCATTTTTAGGACTCAGCCTTATTTTTTAGCGTTTTCTACAAATGTTTCCCGACTTAAAGCTGATACCAGTAAACATTTCTTGCATGTATTTCTTTGATCTGACTTTAGGTAGGTTTACTGTGACACTGTGACAACACGATGTGTATATTCTTCATGGTTTTTTTATTTACTTCCAAAATAAGTTGCTTAGCATAACTGGCAAAAATGATTCAACTCCCTAAGTGATTGCGTACCTGGATTCCTTACTGTGAGAACAGGCCTCTCCTCTACTCTTCTCATAAGTATAAGATTTCCTATTAATTGTCTCCTCCTCCTGTCTTCAATATTTCTCCTTTAAATTCAAGACATTTTCTGTTCTTCCAACAAAACTGATTAACTGTTTGGATTTGTTTATAACCTCACATATTACAAACATAAATACTTACTCCAAAAAAGCTGGTGAGTTTATTTTTATGTACAGCTGTTTTTGTTTTTAAATTTGTTTTCAATGTAATTCTTATGGGGGAAATGCGACCTTTGAGAGCGTCTCGTGCCCTTAAGAGCAATGGCAGAACGCCTAACAGAAAAATGGAAGAAACCTTTTTGTGCGACGTTAAGGGCCAGCAGCATGTGTCTAAGGAGGACAAGGAAGAAGTGGAGGACCCTTTTAGAGAGTTTGAAGATGGGGCTGGAGTACCAGTTATTTATTAATTTAAATAGCAAATGTTTTATTATTTTTCCATATCAAAATTGTGAATTATATTATTTAGTATTAAAAAAATTTACAAATGACTTAAATGAATTGATATATTTACATTCTTTCAAAATGTAAACATGGAAAATTTGGAAGGCCATGGGGCGTAGCCGAGGGAAATGTGAAAATTAAATTATATAATATTGCATTGTCTTCCATTTGGGAGCTATATGTTTCAAATTTCAAGTCTCTAGCTCATCGGGAACTTTGTTTAAAATTGATATCAAAATTTGTAGGAAAGCGACTAGCGAGCTAATAAAAACAAGCCCATTGGGGCGTAGCACAAGGGAAATATGAAAATTAAATGATATAATATTGCATTGTCATCCATTTGTGAGCTATGTTTCAAGTTTCAAGTCTCTAGCTCATCGGGAACTTAGTATAAAATTGATTGCAAAATTTGTACCAGACAAGAAATAAGCGAGCTAATAAAAAACTTTTTAATATATAATTCTGAGCAATTTGCAGACAAAACTCTAATTTTATTTATGAAGATTTATTGTTTGTTTGTTTACTCTATTACTGAATTATTAATTATAATTATGAATCTTTGATTCTCAATTCTCATTTTTACTGTATAGATGATGTTTGCATTACATTACCACAAAGTTATTGGTTTTTGTTCTGTCATACTGTTCAATGCAAACACAAGGTTGCCTGCATATTCCAACCATGGTAAAAGTGTGTAACTTATTCAGTTATATGCTAGTTTGACTAGCCAGAAAACCGGGCTGACACTAACAATGACAGTTTTTTACTTTCCTAACCCTATTTTCACAAGGTCAGTTTGTGTGGTATATTTTCCAGGGTGGCTATTTCAGTGACATCCATATCCATGTTAATCAGACACAAGAACAAACACTGAAAATCTTCAAAAATATTGTTCAAAATGGTTCTTTGTGCTGGAAATATGTAAACACCTTACCTACCCTATGTTAAAAAAATCTAAAATCGTATAACTCATTGAGCGAAGCTCTTATACGTCGACTCTTATGCATTTCGTAATACGCAATCTCCTCCAAGATGGCTGAAGTAATCATTTTCAAATTTTGCATGGTGATAAAGACCATCGGTGAGTGCTAACAACTATATGGCGTTAAAAAAACTCTCTAAGGAATCCCCCCCACTGGCTCTAAAAATTTTTATGTAATCTTTATGGAGCAGTATTTGACACAAAAACAAAGACACAAGATCAGCTGTTGACATATTAAAGGACTTAACTGAAACGGCTACTTTAAAAAAGGTCGTAGGTAAAAGGAATTACTGTAAATGTTATCACCGATATTAGAACAGAAACGGTATGGTTCATAAACATAAAAAATGATGTCACTAGCTTTTTATTATAATAATAGTTGTTTTATTACAAATCCAGTTATTTTATTATAATAAACCTTTTAATTGGAAGTCAACTATACTTTTTATACTAAATAAATTGTTTTTAATTTAATTCCCTCATCAGTAGATTGAAATATATAAAAATAGTCACACAATGTCCACAAAATGTCAATATCAAGCAGCTGATTCGAATCCTACGTGGTGTTTTCTAGTTATGTTTAATTTTTTTACTCGTATTATGGATACTATAATAAAAAGTGTTCCAATAGTTACATGAATAACGAAACCCGGTTCTTATAAAAAAAAGTTGACCCATAAATTGAACTAGGTATATGTTGCTCGAAATCGAGCAATCGCAAAGAAGTACATAAAGGAGCTATTTAAAAACAAATAACTTGTTTAAGAACAAATATAGGTTATAAATTCCGATGAGTTTAAAAGAGTCAACTCAAAGATTACGTAACTTATGATAATACTCACAATGTACTTACCAGTTCAACATAATCAACATTTCTTGTAAATATTTTATCATGTTTCAAAAGCTGATCTGGCTTTTAGCATGGTGGAAGGAAAAAACATAGGTGTGCTATTCCCGTCATATTCTGACGTCACTTGGATTGCAAACAAAAGATCACCTGATTATAACTGTCAAATTAGTATATGTATTTGTTTTGATTTGGTTGTTATTGTTTTTATAATGTGTGTTTTTATAAAAAAAACATTAACAATCAAATCAAAACAAATACATACTAATTTGACAGTTACAATCAGGTGATCTTTTGTTTGCAATACAAGTGACGTTAGAATATGACGGGAATAGCACACCTATGTTTTTCCATCCACCATGGGCTTTTAGTGTGTTGTAGAAATGTTTCCCACTTATAGTCACAATAGGTTCTCCATGTTGGTCTTTGTCAATGATAATGTAGTTTGCGTTGTATCACCCATTGTCGCCAGTACATTTACAAATTTTAGTCTTTATTTTAATAGCACCAAATAACCATTAACTACCTGATTTTCTGCATAACCTCTCTGTCACAATTTTACAATTAACATATGTCCTTCTTCTCACTTTAAATTTCTGACAACATTTGGAGTTTCACAACAATGTTTGTTTCCCATGTTAATCTTATGGAGAAATACGAAACTTTAAAGAGCCCCAGGTTCTCACTCTCTAATTATTTCCCTAAAGAGAAAGTTTCTTGAACAACTTCACGTTATGCTCTTTCCAATGACACCAAAAACATGTCAATCGGTTCAGTAATTTTGGAGAAGTAATTGTCACAAAAAACCTGCTTGTGTATTTAATAAGTATAGATTTAAAAAAATTTGGTACATCAATCTCCTTAAAACCAAATCACAAATCCTTCAATCACTCAAAAGTCACAATAAATCATTAATAAAAACACAAAAATTAGCTGTTATAAACTTTAGAATATTGTTATGCCTTTTTAATAGTGTGTCATCAAAATATATAAAAAAAACAACATTTCATTTCATATAATTTTATTCATTTCAGTACATCAATACAGGAATAGCGATCTATACTATATAAAGTTGGAAATGATTAATTTACCAAGTATCGAAATATAAGAAGGTTTCTACTGACTTATACAACCCCATAGAACAGGCACCCTGTTAGTTAAGTATCAAGATATCTCTTGTTACCCAAGACAAGGTCAGTTAGTGAAAGTAATCATTTTAACAAACATAATAAACGGTTTTTTTTTTACCAGGCAGAAGTACAAACAAATATTAAAAATGTAAGAAAACATCTTCATAAAAACAATAAAATTATCTTAATTTAATAATCTAAATGAGAATAGTTATTTGTGCAACTAGTGAGAAAAGTGAGCAATTGACTCACTCGAGAGAAATCCTTACTCACGAGCCGTAGGCGAGTGAGGAATGGTTTCTCGAGTGAGGCAATTGTACTTTGAACTCGAGTTGCACATTATACTTTTCCTACAGTTACCATAAAACAAATAAATTGGTGAAGAAACATAACCTATTTTTACACAGAAGTGAACTTTTAATATAACATTAATTTAATGTGAAGTGACAAAAATACAACAGTACAACAGCTGACCAGCTGATTTACAGCCAGTGCTGCCAACGTATTTCGCGCGCATACGGCGTTGCCTGCATGTTACGCGCTCACTATTTCGTGCCTTCACGTTGAAAATCTGGAGTGAGACAAAGTAATTGGAGTGAGACAATGTTAACATTGTCTCACTGATGAGCGAATTGGCCACTTTGCTTTCTCAAATCAGTGAGAGAACATGTACATTGTTAGGTAACTGTAGGAAAAAAAATGTAAATACTGATGTTCAAAATAAATGTTAAACTAATCAACATAATGGATCCAAACTGATTTGTCTCCACTTCTTCAGCCTCCTCTCCCCCAACCTCCATGCCTCCATCGCCATCCACCCTGTCATCAGGCCTGGATATAACAGAACAAAAATTAATATTAAAAACAGTATTCTGAACAAAGAGTCTTTTTATGCATACTTCTATCATTATTTAATGTAGGCTACTCAGTGGCGTACTGAGGGGGGGGGGACGGTTTGCACCAGGCCCCACACCAACATAGGCCTCCAAATCAGGGCCGTATTCCCCTAACAGTGGACACTGCGATTGCCAAGGGCTTCAGCCTGGGAAGGGGACTCACTTGGGGCCTCAAAAGAATGCTTTTTCTCTTGGAAAATTAATTTTCCCACAATCTGTTAGAATTAGGGGGTACAATAATCCAACTTTGTCTTGTATTCTCATGATAGCCGAAAGCGTCTGCAATGATTGTGTGATCGAAATTTACGACTACCAGCGATCGCGGGTGACGATAATCAGGCCTCGCAACCGCGAAAGATGTTCACGATTGCTCCGAGGATGCCCACAATTTTAACCACTGGCGACCTTGGGAGATGAAGATGATGACCCTGCAATCACGATTTGGTCATAACCGAGGACAATATTGTTTAATTTTGCCACAATTGCAGTAAACGTTTGGATCAATATATAAGAGCCGACCCATATAACCCATTTTGTATAGCACAAAATATAATGTACAGAGTGTGGCAAAATTATCTGACAGTTTTCTTTGCTGCCCTGTCAGGCGAGTGACTGGCGAAAGGTGGTGGGGATAGGGGCGCTTCAAGGCCTACGTGCGGACATTTTTAGTTGCCATTGAGCTGGTCATCACTGAAACAGAAGAGTATTTTGAAGGCTTTTCAAGTTTGTAGGGTACTATTTATTTGGACATAATTTGAACGAGGTTGGAGAAACTTTAAGATAAGTGTATAGAGCTAAATAAAATTAAATGAAATGAAATGAAAAATCCTTTATTTTTTCAGGCAAAGTTAGGGCCACATGGCCCTTTCTTACACTTAACCTGAAATTAAAAATATAACATAAATAATGTGACATACACGCATCAGCAAACGCGCAAGGTAACAGTAGCCCTAGGACACGCCAGCCGAGACCATCTTCTCAAAATAGAGCTTTTTCAGTGCCGCCACAAACTGGGAACGTTTTTCAATGGTCTTAATGTGTTGGGGTAGGCCGTTCCACAGACGACAAGCGGTAACAACAAAAGCCCTGCCATAAGCTGTGGTCACATGATGAGGTATACGCAATGTGACCGAAGAATAACGAGACATTCGTGAACTACCCTGAGACACAAATTTAAAATCGGATTTGAAATATTTTGAGGAGCCTGTTTTCAAAATTGAAAAAACCAATGACAAAATTTTAATGAATCTTTGATCATTTAATTTCAGGATGTGTGCCTCAAGGTAGTATGGCGTGATATGCTCCATACGTCGCAGACCATAGACAAATCTCAAACAATAATTCTGTGACCGCTGGAGCATACCCGCCTGAGTCGCAGTCAAGTCATTGATCAATGAGTTGCAGTAACTGAAGTGGGGTAGTACAAGTGATTTGATCAAATGTAGTTTAGTGTGTTGTGGTAAAAAATTCTGTAATCTTTTCAATGAATGTATGGAGGCAAAAACCTTTTTTCGTGTGTCCGTAACTGCTATGTCCCAAGTAAGTGAAGAGTTGAAAGATATACCAAGATTCTTGACATTGTCGTAGTATGGAAGTGCTTTGCCATTAACTGTGATTGGGTTTATGGAGTCTAAGTCAATTGAAGGTCGAAGTCGAGAATGGCTAATGACAATCGGTTTCGTCTTTTCGTGATTTAGTCTCAGTCCATGATTCTCAGTCCAAGTAACAATTCGGTTGACATCTTCATTGATCCTTCTGACACAGTCGTTTTCGTTGTTTGCAGTAAAATGGTCATAGATTTGTAAGTCGTTAGCGTACATGTGGTGTTTACAGTTGACCAAGGTCAAGTTTATGTCACTGACGTACAGTACGAAGAGCAGAGGCCCAAGGATTGACCCTTGAGGCACACCGCATGTAACAGTCACCCAGTCTGATCTCGTGTCACCAATCTCCACACATTGCTGCCTATCTGACAGATAAGATCTCAGCCATTTAAGAGAATTACTAGAGGACCCATGCTGCTCCGCAGCGATAAAATGAATATATATCCGAGATATAGGCCTAACCAAGTTCATGATTTTTGATTGAGTAAAACAGTATCTTGAGCTTAACTGATTCAAACGATCAATAGCTCAAATTAAAGCCTATAATTGACTGATTATTTTGAGTCTAAAACGTATAAAAAACCTAAACATTACTGGAGCTATTGATTGTTACTCATAGAAATACCTTATATAAAAAAAATGTTTGTTGTTCACCTTGCGTTTGCTTGAAACTCGCCCGATTTGAAAAACTAATAGCTTAAATGAAAGCCGGTATTTCTCTGGAGGTTGTTAGACCAAAATATATAGGATTATATAATTATATAACTGGTGAAATACATCTTAAATTGAAGAAAGAATCCGAAAATGAATCAAATTACGTTTTTTGGTCGAACAATACAGTAGGTAAATATATGCCGATGCTTGATGGCAAATCGGTGCGTGCATACCTTCAATTTGAGACCTCAATCATGAAAATCGGTCGGGTAGAAGAGCCAAACGAACTTGGAAAAGAGAAACCAAATTTAACTCCCATAAGAAATACATGGGGAGCAAATTTCTTTTACGTATAAGCCTAGTGGGATTATAGATAAATATATGCCGATGCTTGATGGCAAATCTGTGCGTGCATACCTTCAATTTGAGACCTCAATCATGAAAATCGGTCGGGTAGAAGAGCCAATCGAACTCGGCAAAGATAAACTAAATTTAACTCCCATAGGAAATACATGGGGAGCAAATTTCTTTTACGTATAAGCCGAGTGGGATTATAGATAAATATATGCCGATGCTTGATGGCATATCTGTGCGTGCATACCTTCAATTTCAGACCTCAATCATAAAAATCGGTCGGTTAGAAGAGCCAATCGAACTCGGCAAAGATAAACCAAATTTAACTCCCATAAGAAATACATGGGGAGCAAATTTCTTTTACGTATAAGCCGAGTGGGATTATAGATAAATATATGCCGATGCTTGATGGCAAATCTGTGCGTGCATACCTTCAATTTGAGACCTCAATCATGAAAATCGGTCGGGTAGAAGAGCCAATCGAACTCGGCAAAGATAAACCAAATTTAACTCCCATAAGAAATACATGGGGAGCAAATTTCTTTTACGTACCAGCCGAGTGGGATTATAGATAAATATATGCCGGTGCTTGATGGCAAATCTGTGCGTGCATACCTTCAATTTGAGACCTCAATCATGAAAATCGGTCGGGTAGAAGAGCCAATCGAACTCGGCAAAGATAAACCAAATTTAACTCCCATAAGAAATACATGGGGAGCAAATTTCTTTTACGTATCAGCCGAGTGGGATTATAGATAAATATATGCCGATGCTTGATGGCAAATCTGTGCGTGCATACCTTCAATTTGAGACCTCAATCATGAAAATCGGTCCGGTAGAAGAGCCAATCGAACTCGGAAAAGAAAAACCATATTTTTTTAATATATAAGATGGGAAAACCCTATGGCCCGTAATTTCTGAACCAGCAGGTCATGATTAACACAGTCAAATGCTTTAGAAAAATCAAATAGAGTTAGAATCGTTCCTTGTCGACGCTCCATAGCAAGTTTTATGTCTTCAGTCACTCGAAGGAGTGCTGTCTCTGTACTGTGTGCTGTCCTAAAACCAGATTGATAGTCAGATAAAATGTTGTTTTCTGTGATGAATTCAGTGATTTGACAGTGAACGATTCTTTCTAGGCCTTTAGATAGAGCGGGCAAAATACTTATCGGCCTGAAATCCCCAACCAAGGTTGGGGCTGAGATCTTTTTTAGGGGACGGATAATGACAGACTTCCAAGAAGAAGGGAAAGAATGGTGCCTTAATGATGCATTAAAAATGAACGTGATAGTTGGAAGGATGGCATAGAGGATGTCTTTGATAAAACGAATAGGGATACCATCAGAACCGACAGCATTGCTTCGGATTCTGCGGATAGCCATCAAAACATCGGACTGAATAACTGGTTTAAAATTAAACTCAGGATATCTCAGGTGTAGGGTTGGAGAGTTAACTAGTTCATTTAAGTAACTGTCAACTTGATGCTGGTTGGTATTTTGACTGCAAGAAGAAAAGTAAACGTTTAACTCATTTAGAGGAATGTGTACCGGTTGAGAATCAAATTGTTTCCCTAGCCCAAGACTTTTAACCTTGCGCCATAAAACATTTGATGGTTGCTTTTGATTTTCAAAAAGTTTCTGAATGTATCTGAGTTTTGAATTTCGTAGAAGCTGTTTAACTCGGTTACGATGATTCCGATATTGTTGTTTTAGTTCTAAATTGCTGGAGCGTCTAGCCTTTCTAAGTAAGCTATCACGTTGAGCCATCAAACTTTTAATTTCAGGGGTCATCCACGGAACAGGTCTTCGTTTTGTCACACGTTTTGAAACGATGGGAGCATGCTTGTCAAAGAGATTCAATATGGATGAATTTAGCTCATGAACCATTTCATCGACAGAATTTAAATTTTCAATGAAGTGCCACGGAGTTTGTTAAACATCTAACATGAACTGAGCGTCATTCATATTTTTAAAATCCCGATATTTAATAAACTTTGCTTTGGGCTTGGGAGATTTGATTGAGTACACACAGAAAATGAGGTCATGTTTAGATATTGCAGGGATTGGAAGCTGCCCATGATGAATGATATCGTGGTCATTGGACACAACTATTAAATCTAAGAGGGTGTCAGAATTGGCAACATGATGTGTGGGATCGAGTGGTAGTACAGTTAAGTTGCACGATTCAAACATGGTAGTCAGCTGTCTGTGTTCAAAGTTATGAGTCAACGATAGTAAGTCAGTGTTAAAATCACCCATGATCAAAACATGACTGTATTTGAACATCTCGTTAAGCAGAGCATTTTCAAAATCAAGCAGATGCCCTGATCTTGGTGGGCGGTAGCACACTCCTAGTAACAGCGCATCTGCTCCAGGCAAACTGATCTCAATAAATAGGAATTCTGGCCCAGCCGAGTACTCCGATGGTGAAGAAAAGACTGTTTTAAACTTTAAATCCTCCCTGATATACACCGCAACGCCACCGCCCTGTTTACCAATCCTGTCATTACGTTGCAGCACATATCCAGGGAGGGACACCTCATTTGAATGAATACTCGGCTTCAGCCAGGATTCAGAAATGCAAATTAAATCAAAATTACCGGGACAAAATATTTCTCTAACCTCATCAATGTGAGCACGCAAAGACTGGGCATTGATGTTCGCCGCTTTCAGGTGTTTGGGATAGGGAGATAAGGAGCGAGAAAGACAATCAGCGGTGGACAGTGTAGGGTGATGGGTGGGGGAGGGGGGGAGAGATAAGCGGGTCGTTGTGGCGAGCACTGTGCGGCTGTGGACTCGCTATCACAGGTCGCGACGTCACAACAGGCGCACCCAAGACCACTGCACAAGCTGCGATCACTGATTCACACTCACACACATACATACATACATACCTACTTAAATTATTAAAGTAAATCAAAATCACTGTAAAGAATAAAACAACACGCTTGTCTGGCTCCGCTAACAATTCACAAATGAACAAAAAATAAAAGTTTTTTTTCCCCTATTTTAGAATAAAATACATCCAAAGAAACTAAACTCAATGACATTAAATTCAACAATAAAACCTCATATTCATTATACATTTGTAAACAAACTGATTTTTTTTTATATTTATTATTTGAACGTGAACTTTTCCATGCAAAGAATATAAAAACAAATGTTAATAAATAAATTAATTTACTGTTTGCAATACCATATTACACACTAAGATAATAAATATAAATAAATTGAGAACATAAACTTAACTTTCAAACTTTAAGATCATAAAATATATTTTATAATTTAATTTAAAACAAAATAACAAAATCTATTTCAGTTTAATAGTAATATTCATTACTATTCTTTAAAAGTGTAAATATAAAAATAAACAAAATATTAAAAAATATATTAAATGTAAATGTATAATAACATAATAAAATTTAAAATTATAGAAAAGTAGCTGGTGATAAAAATTAAACAGAATCTTAACTGTTAACTGAAGCAGTGTTTTGGGCCAAAGCTGGTAGGTCGGTCAGACTCGTCGCCACCTTCTTCTCCCCGCTCTTGTCAACCCAGAGCACTCTGCCATCCTGGGTCCAGACGTTTCCCACGCCGAACCTTGCCACCGCCTGCTTATACAGTTGCTGGCGAAGGTGCGTCAGGTCCTCCTTGATGGTTACGCCTGTCCCCTTTAGCCGCTTCTTCACATCAAATACAGTCCGTCGGGCCCGGTATGTGCTGAATCGGACGATGATGGGCCGATGCCGCTCCCTGCCGTCGTCTCCCGGTGTCTGCAGCTTGCCGACTCGATGTGAACGGGAGATTGCGTCTTTTGACAGTTCCACACCAAGTTTTTCCCGACATAGCTTTACCACAATCTCGTCAGTGATCTCATCTTTAGTCTCCTTGACACCAAAAATACGAATGTTGTCCCTCCGCAGATATTGTTCGAGGTCATCCGTCCTTTCAACAAGTCTGTTATTTACTTCCTCTATCTTCTTCTGAAGACTCGAGGAGATTATAGAAATATAAAATATTATAAAAGGAGATTAATAGCAAAATAAATCAAATTTATCACAACAAATTGTGTTATTCTATATTCTTCTAAGGTCTTATTGAACCATACTAGTACTAAAATAAATACCTTATTGATGTATGAGAATTTTTATACTTGTTTCAACTGCTTCTGTTGACAGGGGCTTTTCCATTTGTCTTAAAATTATTGTTGTTTCAGTAGGCCTACTTACCAAATGTAAAAACTATTCAGAACAATTATAATTATGGTGTCAAAAAATATAGCCTACATTTCCTAAAAAACAAAAGCAAATTTTTGGGCACCTCACGAGTTAAAATGCTGGTTAAATACTAGTAATTCAGGAGGGTTATGCGACATAGGCTTGGGGGCAATGGACACGGCCCTGGATTTATAAGTATTAAATTTAAGTAAATGGCAAAACTTACCATTAGTTAGTTCTCTTTAATCTTAGTCTTTACTTCGCCCCATCCTCCATCTCCTCTTTCTCTGACACCTCTTCCCTGTATTCTCCAATGTCGGAGGATATTAATTGCAACGCCCCCATTTTACTGGTAGGCTTCAGTTCTGTACAGAAATATTGCAAAAAATAGTGTTATACAAATAATTTTAGTCCAACAAATAATACAAGTGTGTACACTCCTTTCTATATTTGCGATATTCAAATAGGTACAGCTAATAGGAAAATGTTTGAGCAAATCTGGGTCAAGTTAGTACAAATATTAGAATTTGTAACAATAATTTGGTTTAGACAAAATAAATTGGTTTAACTTGTTCGCTACCACAATTATATGGAATTTACGTTCGCATAGACCAGCGACGCAATTGTGCGTCGACTCGTTTCTCACAATAGACCACCGACGCATATTTGCGTCAGCTGATCACATTGAAATAGACTAACGATGCACACTTGCGTCGGTGTTCAATGTTATTAAAACTCCGAGTGTCCCTTGTTTTGGCCTTAATGTCTGCCTATTTTTTGCTCATTTGCAAGGTTTTATTAAAACTGATCTGAGAAGCTTGAAAACAATGTTAATTATACTGTTCTATATACCATTTTGTTTGGAAAATAATGGGCTTCAATAATATACATAGAACATAAAGAACATTTGTTTCAAAAAAAAATTTTAGGTAAAAAAATATTTTTCAAGGAAAATTTAAAAAAAAAAATAAGTTCGCGCTCAATGAAATTGTATAAATTATAGGTCTATAAATATTTGAAAATAGCCACTTTGTTCTAAATTTTATGAGGATTACAAATATATAATAACTAGCTGTAACCCGCGGGCTTTGCCCCGTTTAACTTCTTAATTTTCAAGATTATCTCGTTCGCATGGCTCAATCACGTCCTGGTTGAAGTTTGTTCGCTACGCTCACTCACCTTTAGGTTGGAGCTCGTTCGCTGCGCTCACTTGCCTTCAGGTTAGCTCGTTCGCTACGCTAACTCGCCTCCAGGTTGAAGTTCGTTCGCTATGCTCACTCACCTTTTGGTTGCAAATTAGCTGTTGTCATAAATGTAAAAGAAATAATAGTGCTGCACCCTATTGGTAATCCTTGTAACTTTAATGCTATTGAACATCATAGAACAGAACCAACTTGTTTTATTGAAACAGCTGTTAAGATTCAATAATTCTATTTCTCATAAGGTTAACATGGGAAACTCCAGAGCCACTGGGGCGGAGCCCAAAAGGATTTTTGAAATAAGAATATGCCTATATGTTAATCGGGAATGTGAACTATCATCATGCCAAATTTCAGCCCAATCCGACCAGTATTTTTCGCGTTCACTTGTCACAAACATATACATCCATACATCCATCCATACATCCATACATCCAAACTTTCTCATTTATAATATTAGTAGGATATAAGGAAGTAGATTTGCAAATAAATAAGTTATGGGCAAAAAACAGATTTCAGTACATAGCGTTTAGCTAAGAATGCATAGCCTAACCATAGCTAGGAATCTGGCTGATAATTTACATCATTATCACTACCTACTTCTTCAGGATCATCAACCAGCCCTTCAAAATCACTTAAATCTTCTTATAATGCACCACGTATATCACTACTTTTGATTTTAACACTAAAACAATGATAAACGTAATAAAACACATCAGTCATCGGTCCGAGGTTAACCAAGCTGTTAACAAATACGCACGTCAGCTGTCTGCTACAATATTCGGAACTAAAATGAATAGCGCTTAGAGACAGACCTCCGGAGAAAGGTCTGAATCTGTCAAATAAAACGATACCTAACTCGATCCAGTTCAATCCGATTTTGTCAGTCATAGAGCCTTCGCCGTAAACAGTGTTTGTGAGTCGCTGCAGCGATAAATAACACTCGGAGGGTTAATCCGCGAATTTCTTAGCAACGGTCTATTTTAAAGCCCTGATTTTATCGTATCGGTCTAGAGGGATATCTGCCGCAAATGTGCGTCGCTTGGTCTGTGGATATGACGATTGGTTACGCCACACAACAGTTGGCAACATTGTTGTTTACATTGTGCATTCCGCGACATCTCAGAACAGATGTAAAGGTTATAACCTTTGCAGTTTTGGCGAGTGGTGGAGTTTCTTTATTTGTTTGTGTAAAAGCTTGAAACAACCAAATTTACAACGACGCTTAAACGTGTGTCGCCTGGTCTATTGAAACGAAAATGTAGGTAATCTTTTTATCTAGATTTCATTAAATAGACTGACCAACTCATATATGCAGCGTTTTAAAATTTGTTAAAAACGATAAATAAAAACAATATTTATTGCTTACTAATTCACTTAAGGTTAATATGAAGTAAATTTGTCCATCTAAACGATATTTCTCTTTTGGTCTGTTGGCAATGTTATTCCTATATCACTTGGTCTGTAAGCAACGTCATGATCATTCCTTTTGGTCTGTAGGAGTGACCGGACCAACGCATATGTGCGTCGCTCGGTAGCGAACGTGTTAAACATTAATTATTTGTTATTTCCCAATTTGCAAAAATGCAAGCTCTAGCCTAATTAAGACATTTCCAAACAACATGTTTCGAGATGTATCCAAATACATTTTAAGTAGGGCCTGTAGTTTTAAATTTTTATAAAAAAACTATAAATTTGCATAAAGATTATAATTAATTATCCTTATGTTCCAATAAAACTATTAATAATAGTTAGTTTTGTGTAGGTAAGTAACTACTACTACCTACCTACTAGGTAACTAGTGGGCGAAGTGGCACTTTGCTACACATAAGAGAAATGTTTACGCACGAGCCGTAGGCGAGTGTGGAAAGTTTCTCGAGTGCAGCAAAGGCAGTTTGCACTTTCACAAAGGGGAAAGAATGTTGACTCACCTCACTTAAGTTATGGTTAGACCAAGTAACATTATCATGGCAGTATGGTAATTGCCTCCAGGGTCCACAACTCTGGTCTCTCTTTCTCTCTCATCTGCAGTGATGTCAATGGCAATGTCGTCCAGAAAGGTTAGTCCTCTTAACTAATTGTGTTGGCCATGTACAGATCACCAAATGGTGATGTGGGTAGGTTTTTTGAACTACTTGATAAGTGTCTAACCTATATATTGACTTTAGGCATGTTTGTTTTGATTGGTACTGACCACAACATAGACCTGCTCAGTTCTAAGAATAAATCACCCGAGTTCCTGAATATTTTGAGAACTTTTAACTGCTACAGTTCAGTGATTTTGCCTACCAGAGGTAAAGCATCTTTAGACTCTTTTATAACTAACCTCAATAAGTGGGACTATGAGGTTGTGGTCAGTGATGATCAGATTGCTGATCACAAGCATATTTTTCTTACTGCTTTTCTGAATAGACAGTCTAACCATGAATTAGATATAGGCCTAGTTCCTAAAAGTGTTTCCTACCGAGAAATCAATGAGTATGCAATTGAACTTTTTTCTCTTTATCTTACTAGGCATGTTGGGTCTTGGTTTGATGTAGTAAAGACTCTAACAGCAAATGATGCTTTTTCTCTTTTTTTTGAGAAATTTCAAGAAGCTTTTGAAATATATTTCCCAAAAAAGGTCAAGAACATAAAACCTAAGAAACCTCATAATAAACCATTGAGTAACTCCCCCAAAGTAAAGAACTGGTTTACTCTGGAGCTTGCTAGGCTAAGAGGTTTCATTGTCCTTGTTAGCGACCTCGCTGCTACCGAACTTCATCTATTACCTTTGTTGCGTAATCTGAGGAGAGACTACCGCAAAAAACTAAAGGAAGCCAAGATAAATGCGAGTGCTCTGTTTATCTCCGAAGCATCTAACCCTTGCAAAGCTGCCTGGAGCCTGATCAACAGGAACAGGTCAAGACGTCCATCTGCTGATTCCAGCTTTGCTACAGCAGATGATTTCAATCAATACTTTGTAGACTCGGTGGATTCCATTCTGGAAAATGTACCTAGATCCAACCTTAACCTGTGTGACATTGCAAATGATATTCCAGCTGTAGCTACTCACTTTGAGTGGAATCATGTAAATTCACTTGATATTGTTAATACTGTTCATAGTTTTAAAGCATCTGACAGTAAAGATATATACGACTTGACCCCCAATTTGTTAAAACGGGTTATACATGTAATTGCCCCAATTTTGACGTATCTATTAAATGCATGTTTTTTGGAGGGAGTTTTTCCTCAGGTACTTAAAATGTCAAGGACCGTGCCCATTTACAAAAAAGGACTTTTGAATGAGGTAGCTAGTTATAGGCCAATATCCTTGATTCCTGTACTAGCCAAAGTTTTTGAATCTATTATGTTCAGTCAGCTCTATAATTATTTTGAGCAGCAACACCTTCTAGTACCGGCCCAATTTGGTTTTCGCAGAGCGAAATCAACCTCAATGGCTGTCGAAGAGTTTGTTCAAGTAATTATCAATGCTTTTGAAACCAAGCAATCTGCTTCGGCAATTCTATGTGATTTATCCCGTGCATTCGATTGCGTTCAGCACAAAATCTTGCTCGAGAAACTAAAGAAGTATGGACTAGAGGGTGGTGCACTCAGATTGATTGAATCATATCTTGACAATCGTCATCAGGTTGTTAGCTGGGACGGTAGAATGTCTACCCCTGTTCATGTAAAACACGGAGTTCCCCAGGGCTCCATACTGGGGCCACTTCTTTTCATTGTATCAATTAATGACATGTACCACAGAGTTGGGGATGGTGTCCTGCTCTTTGCAGATGACACAACACTTGTATCTAGTAACACCAGTTGGCAGGCAGCTGTAACTTCAACAAGAGAATTGTTTAGTAATGCTTCTCAATGGTTTATTGATAATAAGCTCTCACTCAATAATTCTAAGACCCAGGAAATAGTTTTTAGTCTTTGCAACAGTTCTGAAATCAGTGAACCAGTAAAGTTGT